ATATATATATATACTAGCAGTAGAGCCCGGCGTTGCCCGGGGATGTAACAGTAAGAGATAGATCAAGTATCGACCATCATAAAGACTGAAAAATAAAATTGACAAAAATTATTGTTTAAGGTTGACGGACACGCATGTCTTAATTAGTTTTGTTTTTTTTGGGGTTTTTTTTTCAATCGTTATGAGTCTACCGATTGAATAGAATTTTATTATAAACAATTGTCTTGTAAATGGAATTTTTAAAGCATTCTGAATGTAAAAAATAAAGAAAAAAGTGTGCAAGACAATAAGAAACACTACCTGCCAAAAAAAAAGTGAAGTTTTGTTGAAATCGGTTGAAAAATGTAGGAAACCCGATCCCATATATAAACGAACATACACACACACACACACAACCTGGGTTTTATAATAAGTATAACTCGATATGAGTTGTCCCCCCTTTCATTCTGGTGACAGTGGTCCCTATTAATCTTGTTTTCAAATTGGTTTCGTGCAAAAACAATTGTGTTTTCCAATTTTGGGCGCTGTCAGAACCACCGCAAGGTAATTTTACGCAGTCCTGTGAAGTTTTGTTGAAATCGGTTGAAAAATGTAGGAAATCCGATCCAATATATAAACGTACAGACACACACACACACACACTATCTGCGTTTTATAATAAGTATGATATATGTAAGCAATCGTACAGAGACCTACGCACACACAGAGAGGGTGATTGTTCAAATGTTTCTACCTACTATCTATATAGTACTAAAATTCTAATCTTGTATATATGTATAAGTATTCCCGAGATACAGCATAAACAATACATAATACTCAAACCAATTTAGGCGTAGATTCAACCTTGAACCCCTGTTGAGTACAATACCAAATTTCATTAAAATTAGACAAAGTGTTCTTGAGTTAGGGTAGTTTTATTTTCTGTTTTTACGTTAAGAATTATTTTTAATAGTGTTATTTTTCGATACACATTCTTCTATCAATCCCCGTATATAAACAAACACTTGCATTATGTGTGTAAAAATAATAAACATTCATAATACATTATAGCAACATTATTAAATACAATTTAATGTGCATAACACATTTATTTATACAATTTCCTACATTACATTAGAACTTCTTTTATAAACAAATATCGCAGATATTTGGTAACTACTAGATAGGTGAAGAGGCTATGTAGATGTGTCATTATAAAATATAAACTGTATGGCGGGAAAATTGCGTTACGTGACTTGATGGTAAATAAATAAATAGATGCATACTGGTTTGCCGCCGTTACGCATTTTGCAAAATGTAAGGAAGAAACTGGTATGTATAATAAAGATGTAATTTTCTTTTTGAAAAAAATACCTAGGAAATAAATGAAACTAAGTGCACAAAAAGGAGGCATTATGTTATTTCAATAAATATGAATCTCCATAAGCAGACGATTGCTGATTTCTTTGTATTTTTTAATAACCTTCACCTTTAATAATTATATAGTTAAGTTGGTATAAATTATCACCCGTGTTGAGTATTACTTGAAGTAATATTGTATAATATGAGGAATAATAATTATTACAATAACTTGCATTGCAAATACAAATTCAAGAATATTGTAATTAATAATAAAATTGCTGATATTCTTCCCTCATCATTTTGTATCATGAACTGTTTTTAAAAGAAAACCAACTAGTTTCTGGGTTGTCTAATATTGTATATAATTCAATGTTCCTAAGCTATTTTTTAAATGGTGTACACCCTGTACAAGGCCCAAGGCCACTCGAGGTAGAGGGTTACAGAGTAAGAGGCACAGTTTTGTGGGTATATGTGGGGAAGTTAACAGTTGAACAGATTGTAGTGATGAAGGAAGCATCGGTTCCACAGAGCATCGATTCGCGGGAAGAAGCTGCTCAAGTGGAACTTACATCTCACCAATGGAATACGAAAGGATTGAGGCTGGTTCACTGCAATGGGCGTGGCAGGGTGAGTCTTAGCCGTGAAGCTTAGAACTGATGAAACTAAGGAATGGAATTCATCTGAACACTTTTCATGGAATAGCGATAGAGCAGCGAGAGACTTGTAAAGTTATGTCTGTGGGGAAAGGGTTATTGGGTTTTAAATAATTCATTACCCACAAGGACGCGGAGACATTTTGGACTCTATCGAGACTAGAAAATGAAGACTGGACTCCGCGAAAACAAATATTTCTATCTGTGTGTGTGCGTGTGTGAGAGAAAGAAAGGGAGAGTGTGTGTGTGAATGCGTGGGTGTGAGTGTGTATGTGTGTGAGAGAGAGAGAGAGAGAGCGTGAGAAAGAGATTATGTGTGTCAGTGTGTGTGTGAGAGCGTGTGTGTATGTATGTGAGTGCGTACAGTGAGAGAGAAAGAGTGTGTGTGTGTGTGTGTTTGAGTGTGTGTGTGTGTAAGAAACAGTGTGTGTGTAAGTGTCAGTGTCTGTGTGAGATGGTGTGTGTATGTATGTGAGAGGTGTACGTTGAGAAAAATAGAGTGAGAGTGTAAGAGAGAAAGAGAAAAGAGAGTGTGCGAGTGAGTGTGTGTGTGTGTGTGTGTGTGTGTAAGAGAGAGTGTGTATGTGTGAGAGAGAGAGAGAAAGAAAGTCTATGTGTGAGTGTCAGTGTGTGTGAGAGAGCGTGTGTGTATATATGTGAGTGTGTAAGGTGATAGAGAAAGAGAGTATGTGTGTGTGTGAGATAGAGAGAGGGGGGAGAGAGAGAGTATGTGTATATTTGCGTGTGTGAGTGTACGCGCGTATGTGTATGTGTGCGCTTGTTCGAAAAATCCGACACTAAATGTTCACATTGTACTTGTAAAAGCTTAAAAAGCAATATTTCTTTGCTTTCAAATATCTCATCGACGGATTCAAAAATCTTTTATTTCCCGTTTCTCTTGACATCAATATGACCTGTGAATGATTAATTCTTGAAAACTTTTTTTTAAATTTAAGCGCAGTACTCAACTGGCGTCGAGATCTCATCTATTTACAGTCGTGCTAGCTAGATTTAGCCGTAAGTTCTATGCTAACAGTTTCTTCTCTCGCACTTCTCGCTTGTGGAACTCCCTTCCGGCTCCATGCTTTCCAGCCAACTTTAATCTTCAAAAATTTAAATCCAGTGTCGATCGCTATCTACTCTCCTCCGGATTACTCTTTCCTCTTTCGGCTCATTATTAATGTTTCTTTTCCTAATTCTTCCATAGCCAGTAACCCCTTGTGTCTTAGTGGCTTTACCGCCTTGCATTGGGTGATACCGATTTAAAATATATATATATATATATATATATATCGGTCTGAAGGAGTCGATCTTATCGTGCGGCACCTTTGGAAAGTACCCGAAAACCATAAAACGGGTTGATCCAAGCGTTGTGGGAGAATTTGGGTAGACGAAACTCTTTGGAAGCCGTTGATGCTTGTGCTAGCACAACGTTACAAGTCATCGTGGCCGAGGCCTTGCTGGCCTAGTTCAGACTGATGATTACGCTAAATAACACGCTTTTCCCCCAGAAACTGTAACTAAGGTCTGCCCAGCATAGTTGCAGTATAAACCACAGGTGGGCTCTGAGGGTTCAGTTCGAAATTCTAGTCACCTGAAGAAGGCCTTAGCGTATAACGGCCGCAACGTCGTGAATGTGGTAACAAAGATGAGGACAACAGTCTGAACAATGTAAATAGTGTAAATAATCTTTTTTTTTTAACATTAGAACTACGGCTTTTCATATTTGATGACTTCCAATATTTCATTCTTAATATTTGGATAATATTTAAACTCATTGGAGATCAAAATATACGTTTTCTTGTCTGTCGTTTTTAATAAACACACCCAAGTTTGTGAGTGTGTACGTGTGTGCGTTTGTGCGAGTGTGTGCGAGTGTGTGCGTGTGAGTGTGTGCGTGTGTGTGCGAGTGTGTGTGTGTGTGCGTTTGTGCGAGTGTGTGCGTGTGTGTGCGAGTGTGTGCGTGTGAGTGTGTGCGTGTGTGTGCGAGTGTGTGTGAGTGTGTGTGTGAGTGTACGTGTGTGTGAGAGTGTGTGTGCGAGTGTGTGCGTGTGAGTGTGTGTGTGTGAGTGTGTTTGAGTATATGTATGCGCGCGTGTGTGAGTGTGCATCTGTGTGAGTGTGTGTATGTGTGCGTGCGAGTGTGTGCGTGTGAATGTGTGTGTGTGAGTGTGTGTGAGTATGTGTATGCGCGCGTGTGTGAGTGTGAATGTGTGCGTGTATGCGCGTGTGTGTGAGTGTGCGTCTGTGTGAGTGTGTGTGTGCGTGTGAGTGTGTATTTATGTATGTATGCGTGTGTGCGTGTGAGTGTGTATGTATGTATGTATATGCGTGTGTGCGAGTGTGTGCGTATGAGTGTGTGTGTGTGTGAGAGAGTGTGTGCGTGTGAGTGTGTGTGTATGTAAGTATGTATATGTGTGTGTTTGTGTGTGAGTAACAAAAATATCCAAGCGTCAAATTGAAGTGCGTCTTGCTAAAATATAACAGTTTCGCGTTTATTGCCGGGTCAAGTTATTTAAGCGATTTTTTCGAATCAAATGTTCAACTCGATTCCATTTAATCAAATCTCGATTTCTTTTTTTCTTTCTTTTTTTCTTTCTTTCTTTCTTTCTTTCTTTCTTTCAGTTTTCTGTTTTCTTCCGACGTGTTAATGAAGCCGCGGTAACATGTGCAGTGGAAGTCTTCGAAGAGGGCGGGGTGGGCGGGCAGGCGGATGATCTTGTGAAGAGCGCCATTTGTTGTAGAAACAGCGAACAGAAATCCGTACAAAATAAATAAATAAATAAATAAAAATAAATGCTTCGCATCTAATTGGAGGCCATTTTTGAAAATGGCAAATACATTTTGAAAATGACAAAAGGTTGGCTTCGATGGAGCCTGATAGTTTTTTTGTTTGTATACACTTTTTAATTTCTTTTATTTTTGTTTTGTTTGTTAATCGATTTTGTTTGAAATAATCGATTTGTAGCAGTAAAACAAAAGAAGAAAAGAAAGAACTAATTAATGTCAGAGAAGATTGTAGGAAGAAAGAGGTGAATGGATTGAAAGAAAAAAGAGAAAGAAAAACGATGAAAAGGGAAAGGCTAAAAAACGAAAGCGATAAAGAGAAACTAGAGAGTGATCATAAAAGAAGAGAGAGGAAGAAAGCGAAAAGCAAACAGATGGAGGAAAAAGAAGAAAGAATTGGGAGACGCAGACAAAAATTAATTTTAAAAATTTGATGAACAAGAAAGGAATATAAAAGAAGATAAGATTCTATATTTCTAAATAAAATAACACAGAATAAAGACAAAAAATAACAATAATAATAATAATAATAATAATAATAAACAATAAAGACAATAATAATAATAATAATAATAATAATAATAATAATAATAATAATAATAAATTAATAATAACCTAGCCATCCCAGTGGTCCAATATAGTTTCAATTGAAAAAATGACATCAGACAAATGGATTCTAAAACAAGAAAGCTAAGTATAAGATGTCATCAAAAGGCTGATGGGTCTATACATACCCTAAAAGAAGGTGGAAGAGGTCTTATTCAGCTAGAATTGGACAACAACTATTGGCAAACACATGGAAACAACAAATGACTGGATGAAAAAATTAGTGAAACAACATGAAACAAAACAGAAAGAAAAATATTCAATAATAAAAAAGGCACAAATACAAACAACATTTACATTTAGTAGATTCTGTAGTGAAACCAACTCGCAAAAGATATGAAAAAGAAAGCCAAGGATAAAGCCCTTGAACAGATGAAAACAACGCTGGCAAGACAAACCTCTGCATGGCCAATATCCAGAACGTGCAAATAAACCCAATGTTGATAAAGTTAATACCATCGATGGTTACGAGCATCTGGATTAAAGTCTGAAACCTTTATTCTTGCAGCAAGACCAGACAGAAAAATACATAATAATGTGGATCCAAAATGCAGGTTCTGTGAAAATACCAAGAAACAATAGACCATCTAATCTCAGGATGTTCTATTAAATGAATATAAAAATCGTCACGATAGAGTGGGGCAATAACCAATGAAACACTTTGGAAAAAAGCAAACACTGGTATGAACATCGGCCAGCGCCGGTTTACAGAAATGAAGATCACCATTCTATGGGATTATACCATCCACACAGACAGAAAATTGAAGCAAATAGGCCGGACATTATTGTCAAAAACCAGAAAGAAAAAACTTGCCTACTAATTGATATGGCTTGTCCAGCGGATTGTAACATAGCAACCAAGGAATTTGAAAAACTATCAAAATACAAAGACCTGGAAATTGAAATAGAAAAAATGTGGAAATTGAAAACAAGAATAATACCAGTGGTAATAGGTGCACTTGGAATTATAAAAATGGAACAAAACAACACATTGAAAGAATCCTGAAACCCCAGCTTAAGAGACATACAGAAAATTGTCTTATTAAGTACAGCACACACACTAAGGAGAACTTTGTCTATGTAACGCTAGCAACTTCAACGGAGATAAAAAAAAAAAAAAAAAAAAAAAATTAACATGAAATGTGGCCATAACAACACCCACGACCTGCCTTAGGTCTTTCCACAGACTTGGTAGGTAGTGTGTCCATAGCAGAAATCGAATGATGATGATAATAATAATAATAATAATAATAATAGGTGCATAATTAAAAAAATGGAACAAAACAACACATTGAAAAATAGAAATACAGAAAATTGTCTTATTAAGTCAGCAAATGGAGAACTTTGTCTATGTAACGCTGGAGATAAAAAAAAAAAAAAAAAAAAAAAATTAACATGAAAATGTGGCAAACAATCCCACGATGTTAGGTTTTCCGGAGTCCCTAGGACTAATAATTAATAATAATAATAATAATAATAAAAAAAATAAAATCTCGAAAAGTGGCATATGACAACAATCCCTTGAAGCCCTAGGACTGGTTGGAAAAGATTGCAGTAGACTAATTGAAGGGATTTCTCGAAGTCTATGCCTCAAGGAGATGCCAAAATTGTTCTGACAAGTACAGCCCACAATTTACGAAGGGCTTTATCTATGTAATTTTTTTTTTTTTTTTTTGTCAGTGGAAAGTGTCATGATGCCATTTCTAACCTTAGGTCTCTTGGCGGGACCCGGAAAGAAATGGGTAAACGCCAGAAACCATGAAAATAAAAATAATGGAATGACTAAAATGTACCAACACAAGCCAAGGAAGGTAATCGAAAACGACCAAGTAACAATTTTCTTGGATTTCAGCATCGAAACAGATCAATTCCTTAAGGCCACCAAATCAATCATCATCGTCGTTGAAAAAAAAATCGAAGAAAATGCCTCCTCGTCGATATGGTTCTAAATGATGATCCTATTAATGAAGGTCAACAAACTGAAAGCTTAAGAAATTTATCACCATTACCCCAGTTATCATTGGGACGTTGGGGTCTATAGCACCGAACTAAAAGTCATATATTATGAAAATCGGAATAAAGCCAACCCTCCCTCCATCGTTTCAGAAGTCTGTGTGGCTTGGTACTGCAGTTATGTTGCAAAAGGTGATATCCGCCCGAGGTCGTACAACTCGATGGAGAAATGTAAGATCTTTGGTTGAAAACAAAAAAAAAACAACGCGAAAGAAGAGAAAACAATAATGGAAAAACCTTGCAAACATAAGATTGGGATTTGGAAATGGAATCATTACTAAAAGCTTTCCTGTTCGGAAGAGCAAGGAAACTTTGACTACGAGGAGTTGATGAAAAGAAGAAATGATTGGTTCACTTTCTTCTTTTCATCAACTCTTCCAAAAAATATTATTTTCAAGACAAATTTGTGTTTAAGAAGATATGTCTTGAAAATAAACTTTTTACGGGCAACCAACATCAACTGACGCACAGAAAAAACGAGATAATAATAATAATAATAATAATAATAATAATAAAATAATAATAATAATAAATCTGCAACTTCTACGGGAAGGAAACTGAAAGAAACTGGTATGAACACCACCCAGACCCGGTTATGGAGATAGGACCTGTTACAATTCTATGGGATTACACAATACACACTGACAGAACAATCAAAGCCAGCCGACCAGATATTGTTATTAAAGACCACAAACAAAAAAAGTGCCTCCTTATTGATATGGCAGTCCCTGCTGACTGCAATGTATCTTTGACGATATTCAGAAAGCTGTCAAAATACAAGGACCTTGAAATAGAAATCTCAAAAATATGGCACATGGGAACATCAACAATCCCTGTTGTAGTTGGAGCCCTAGGACTGGTTGGAAAAGATTGCAGTAGACTAATTTAAGGGATTCCTGGAAGTCCATGCCTCAAGGAGATACAAAAAATTGTTCTGAGAAGTACAGCCCACACTTTACGAAAGGCTTTATCTATGTAATATTTTTTTTTTTGTCAGTGGAAAGTGTCATGACGCCATTTCTAACCTTAGGTCCCTGGGCGGGACCCGGAAAGAAATGTGTAAACGCCAGAAATCAAAGAAAATAATAATAATAATGAACACCACCCAGACTCGATTACGGAGATAGAACCTGTAACAATTTTATGGGAAATCAAAATCGTGATTAGAGACCGCAAAGACAAAAATTACCTTCTTATTAATATGGCGGTCCCTGCAGACTTCAATGTATCTTTGAAGCTCTTCAAAAACCTATCAAAATATAAGCATCTTGAAATCGAAATCTCAAAAATGTTGTACATGAGAACATCAATAATTCCAGTTGTATTGGAACCCTCGGATTGATTGGAAGATTCCAGTAGACTCATTGAAGGGATTCTTGGTAGTCCATGCCTTAAAGAAATACAAAAAATTGTTCTCACGAGTACAGCCCACACATTACGAACGGCTTTATCTATGTAAAATATGTGTGATTTTTTTTCAAAATTGATCAATGAAAAATGTCATGATGCCATTTCTGGTCTTAGGTCTCTTGTCAGGGCCCAGAAAGGAATAAATATACGCCAGAATTCAAAGGAAATAAAATAAAAATAATAATAATAATAAATGCAAATTCAGTGATAAATATCCAGAAACAATTGACCATATTTGTCAGGATGCATGCTGTTAGCACCAAGTGAATATAAAACTCGGTATGATAGAGTGGGCTAATATCTGCACTGGAAAATCTGCAACTTTCACGGGAAAGTGACTGCAGACCCGGTTACAGAGACCAGTATCAATTTTATGGGACTTTACGGTACACACAAGACAAAGCTAAAAAAAAAAGAAAAAGAAGTAGGAAGAGAGGCAATAGAAGAAGAAGAAGAAGAAGGAGGAGGAGGAGAAGAGCGAGAAGAAGAAGAAGAAGAAGAATAGGAAGAAGAAAACGAAGAAGAAGAAAAAAGAAGAAGGGTAAGAAGAAGAAGACGACGACGAAGAAGAAGAAGAAGAAGAAGAAGAAGAAGAAGAAGAAGAAGAAGAAGAAGAAAATGGAGGAGTAAGGGGGGGGGATGGAGGGGGTGAGCAGGAGGAGGGGGAGGAGGAGAATTTGGAATGTAAAATGTTCCATGCCCGTAATTGTAGAAGTTAATGAGAGTAACATCAGGGCGATTTTCTCCTTTTCCCCCAAACTAATGGGCAGCTGCAATTTACATACATTTCCCGTACTATTCCCTTGAAAAGTGTGCGCCTCTGGCATGCATCACCGAAACCTCGATAGTGTCATTTCGTGATTCCTGTCGTCATACTACACAACCGTCATGATTCGGCCAATCGCACGCCGTGATTCTTTGGTTCCAAGCCGTGCCAGGGGCGCATTTATAACTAAATGGCACCAACCAGACACATTGATAGAAACGGGTACAATCTATCAAGTCAGGGTAAAGACCAAACAGCGTAGGGCAGGTGAATTCTGTAAAAGAAAAAAAAAATAGAATAAAAATGTTTAATTAAAAACAAAAATGGTGGAAATACTATTGTGGATGTTTGCAAAATAACAAAGAACAAATATTCATTAAATAATTCTCAAGCGTGAAATAATATTGGTTTTTCAGTGACTTATAAACGAAATAAAATTATTTACATAATTCAAACTTGGATTAAAATCCTTATCTTTGTTGTTGTTTTTTCGCAATATTTCGGCCGCTTTGCTCTCCGGCCTTCTTCAGGTGTATGTTCTTATGGGCAACATTCCGAGAATTTCGAACTGAAGACTTTATTTAATGCACAAGGGTAGATAGTTCTCGCTCTGATCTCCTTGTCCAGGGATATCTCATTCTTATTTAGTACTCCTCAGTCATTGCTTGTTTTCAATTGAATCTAAGTTTCTACTACCCTGGCTAAGGATTGAACACCAAATTCATGAAGCGACACTTTAAACTAATAGTCTATTGTCTCTTGAAATAATCCTGACGTCCTGAGTAAGACTACATCCAACAATAAGGCCGCTGATCAGGAGGTTTTGAGGAGCGTGGAACCACCTCTTAATTGCTGATGCTCCCAGGTCATGGGAGCACCAGCAATTAAGAGCACGTAATGAGGAAGGAGGGCTTGGAAAAATTGATACTCACAAGGCAGATTGAGGGAAAGAGGGATAGAGGAAAGCAGCGAGTAACATACTTGATGAGCTTGAGTAAATGGATGTTAGGACAGGGTTTAGGAGAAATAACTTGTTATGTAGTACGAAAAGGTTTTTCTTCCTCCGTATTAGTTCAAATCCCTCGTCGCCAAATTGTTATGTAGTGGAGGCTTGTATTTGTACTAAGTCGGTCCTAAAATAGGTTCGACGTACAAAACGTTAGTTGTGGTGGCTGATACTTTAATATCCGACTAACGGTCGTCCGACATCGACTGACTGCCCAACTCACTGCCGACTCGCTGAGCGACTGCTACCACTACTTATTATAGGTAGGAAAGTCTATTAACTATAGAATAGGTGTGTTCCATTATAACATAACTAAAAGACAAAACTTAGTAGACGTGACGGAGATGATGTGGAGGGCCATAATCACCTACATCTGAAAGAGACACAGCATTTAAAAGTAAAAGTTATTTTACTTAATTTCACACGAGTTGATGATCATTCTTTTCTAAATGAATAAAATGTTTTTCATGCAACAAACTATAACCTCTCGATTACGTTCAAGGATTTGATTATTTTTATTGTTTGTTTAACACTCAGTTGCTTAACGGAATTGATGTCTGTATTGAAAGTCAGTGATTTCTTTTCTTTCTCTGTCATTAACAAATGAGGAAAAAAGCTACATAAAACAAATTGGCGCAAAAGACGCCATCTTACTCAAAAAGAAACTGTTTCTCACCTTCTGAGAAAAAATGTTTTGATGCTTGGGTGTCATCTCTTGTTGTCCCATCACAAGGTTCATGATTGGCTAACAGCTGAACTTGTGATATCGACAGGCTCTTTTCTTGAATTGATGGAGAAACGGTCTTCGTCATCATTGTTCTTTCAAGTGACGACGTCATCTGTCTTTGCGAAGCTTGGTGTCTCGTGGTGACCTTGTTCTGAATAGCATAATCTGGCATTTTGGGAATAACTGAATGCCGAGAAGTCTGCCTGTTTTGGGGAGGAAAGAGAATTTTTAGTACAGGGTGACCGGTGTGACTTTTGAAGGAAAGATCTTGATTTATTGTAGAAAAGGGAAGCGTATTTGTCTGTTTAGGAAGAATTGGCTTCCTGGGTCTTCTGGATTCCGTTATTTGAAACATTTTGACCGAAGTATTAACTGGTTTCACAGTTTGAAGTACAGGGATGTTTTTATTTTGAATAGCTGCTTGTGTTTCTATCGTAAAGGACGAGGTGGGGGATAAAGTATTGGACGGTTTTGCTGAGAAGAAGATCGATTCTGACGATTCTGATGATTTAGGTGAGATCAATGAAATATGTGTAGACGATATAGAAGAGGGAAGCAGGGGAAGATGAGAATGCTCGGGGAATGGAAGTGACAGCCGGGATATCGTTGGAGAAAACGACGATGATGGTGCCATGGAGGAGAAGGCCGATGATGAGTGTGATAGAAATAGCGATGAATGTGGTCGCGTTAGCCGTGGGGATTTTGATGACGATGGCGTCAAGTTATGGATTTCTTCAGTTTTATTCAATGCTTTTCCAGAAAGAACTCTATCGTGCCAATAAGGTGGAAGATGCTTGGTCCCATGTAAAAATGAATTGTCGGAGATCTAAAAATCAATGAACAAAAAAAATCTAATCAATTTAATGAAAAGATCATTAATAATAAGATTAAAATATCAAAAAGGTGATGGAAGGTGGGATAGGAGGCTTTGCAAAGAGACAAACGCTGCCAAAGGCCACATGATATACGAGGTTGTGGAGAGCCATGATCGCTCATGTCCTGAAGGGACACGGCACACAGAAGAAGATCTCTTAAGAATGCCGTTTGCAAAAGAAAACCCTAGACACTTCAGAATGTAAAGAATTTTATTGTAGAAAATCAGTCAGTTATGTGCCATGCGTGCTACACGCTTAGGCGATTATATATCTTTCAATACATGACTGACGAGGCAGATTTTTTCGCGCAGTAGGTTTCTATTTCTTTCTGTGGTAGGCCAGTTGCCATCCAAAGTTTAGAAACCCGATCTGTCCTGCTATTTACCCATAGCTTGTAGGGAGAGAAAAATAAGATTCATACCTTTCCCAAGGGTATTTGCACGTAAGTGAATGCAATGGGTTCGACTGGAATTCGAACTCTGCTCTCCAATTCCTCAATCCGAGCCGCTATCCATTAATTTTACGTGCCTCCTTAAGATACATGTTCAATAACACCTGCAATGTTTTAAAAGGCTATTCGAAGTTTTCATGAAAGATTGCAAATTGACGTTGTTTGGGAATATATATTCTACTTTACACAAATACGATAAGACATACGCATCACATCTACTTTCTCTCTATTCTTTAGAGAAATAAATGAAAAAAGAATATCCTTCGATCTTACCATATGAGGAAAAAATGTATTCAATGCAACGGGAAAGAACCATTTTACCTTAAGTGTGGGTTGTTGAAGTTTCTTGTCAGTTGGTGGCAATATCGGCGAGTCTGCGTTCTCAAGTATTTCTTTAATGAGTGAATGCAAAGGAAACTTTTTTCCTTGTGTCGCAATGTTGTCAAAATCGTCCAACGGAAGAGACCAGGTCATAGCGCCACCTAGCTGATGTTTTTTGAGGTACTCAACCTAATAGGAAAAAAAAAAAAAAACAACATGGCGATTACATTACTTAATTTTAACATTATTTTTCATTTTTTTGTTTGCACGCTGGGGCAGAATGATTGAAGCAGACGACGCTTTCTATAAGCAGGTGAGGGATTATTTATGATTATGTTAGAGGAAATTAGCCGAATGTATTCTTAACATGTACACTTCCGAAATTGTCTATAATCTGTAGACACCAGGGAATAACATAAACCCGCTTTTTCTAATAGAAACAAAAATACATAATGACTCTTCTTCAAGAGCGGGAAACAAAGAATTGTGTCGTCTGGAGATTTTGAATATATATATGTAAGATGTTTAAGAATTGATTATAAGAATGGATAAGGTATAACTTTGGGCTAAATCTCTATAACTGGGAGACTAACGCTAAGCTTAATTCGACTGGACCCACACAGTCTAAAGAAAACGTGTTTTCGAAGATTTATAAACATATTTAACAAAAAATTTGTATGCAGTTTTTTCTGATGCTGTCTGTTCGTAAACGAGGAAAAACTTTTGACAAACATGGACAAGAGTACCGGGAATAAGACATAGTGTCAAAAGAACTTTTTTTTTTTGTCCCCATCTTCACTCTTCGGCAATGTTTATTGCTTTAAAAAGCGATGATTAGAATTGGAATAAAACCTAAACACATGATGAAAGTGAATTTATATATTTTTTTTTTGTTCTTGAGAATTTACAACCCAAATATTAAACAGTATTTATTTATTCGATTGTTTATCTGGCATCCCGGCTTCAGTGACTTTCCCATCGCCTCAACGTAGATTCCCTGTGGTTTTTTGTTATGAAGTGGTTTCACAGTGGAGGCTTGTATTTGTACTAAGTCGGTCCTTGTAGAGTGAACGAAAAGTTTTTTTCTTCCTTCTTATGAGAAACGAATCCCTCGTCGCCAATGTGTTGTAGAGTAGTTTTCACAGTGGAGGCTTGTATTTCACTAAGTCAGTCCTAAAAAAGGTTCGACGTACAAAACGTTAGGAACTTGAAATAATAGTTAATGACGCAGCAGTCTAGTTGTGGTGGTTGATACTTTAATGTCCGACATCGACTGACTCACTAACTCACTGAGCTCACTGGCGACTGCTACTACTACTACTGATTATCTGTGGAAGAGTCTATTTACAATAGAATAGGTATGTTCTAGTATAACAGTCCTAAAATAGGTTCGACGTACAAAATGTTAGGAACTTGATATAATAGGTAATGACGCAGAGAAATCTAGTTAAGGTCGCTGATACTTTTAGTATCCGACTAACGGTCGTCCGACATCGACTGACTGACCAACTCACTAAGTGACTGACTCGTTACTCTTACTACTCCTACTTATTATAGGTGGGAGAGTCTATTAACTATAGAATAGGTGTGTTCCACTATAACACTTTTCTATAAATACTTTCATGGTAATTGTTCTGATGAACTTTCCTCTATTGTACGTAGCGTTTATGTATTTAATGGCAGTACGAGATTAGTGGCAAGGTCTCATCATTTTACAGAAATGGCGAGATGTAACCGTAAGTTCTATGCTAAGAGTTTCTTCTCTTACACTTCTTGCTTGCGGAACTCTCTTCCGGCTTCTTTCTCCCCAGTCAGCTTTGATCTTCAAAAATGTAAATGCAATGTCAATTGTTATCTTCTGTCTTCTTAATTCTTGTTCTTTTAGTGTTCTCCCCGCTCCCTAATAATGTTTTCTTTTTCTTATATTCTTGCACACTCAGTAACACCCTGCATCTTAGTGGCTTTATTGCCTTGCTTGGGTTGAAATGATTTTTTAAAAAAGTCATGAGACAATAAATCTATTTTTCTATTCATATCTTCCGGCTTATTGTTTCCCATTTATCTTTAATCTTCAAAAATCTAAATACAATATTATCTTCTTAATTCTTGTTCTTTTATTGTTATCTGTTTTTAATAGTATTTTTCTAATATTCTTTAACACTGGGAAATCCCTTGCTTTGCGTGTGGTGAAATGATTAAAAAAAAAAGAAAAAAAAAAGGATAGTTTTTCAAATATTGAAAATTTTATAGCATTAATTTCTACTTCAATCTTTGTATGGTAATAAATTTTAAAACTTGGTAACTAAAGCAATCGATATTACAATTAATAACATTGTGAGCGGGATCCGAACTCTGTGCTCCATTAATTTAGACATTAACTAGACTATGATTCTCTAATAATAATTACTTAAGAAGTAGGATGGTTAATGCGCTGATATCGTTAACCATTAAATAGCGAGTTCATGCCTTTGTGGTTTATCAAGGAATAAGACGTCATGCCAACTGTGTCTTTAACCATCAAATATATATTAACCCAAATTAACCACATTATTTAGTTTCATTGGCTGAATGGAAAGAAAACTGGAGGAAAGAAGTATGACATAAGGCCACAATTTCGGAGCACACAACGAGAATGAAAACCATCTTGTAAGACCAAAAACGTTTGGGCTTTTATTCTCTGTTTTATTTATGATCCAGGCTATTTACTGACAGACGGTGTAACTGGGGTGAAAAGTAACTAAAATCAAAATGAAAGAAATACCAGAGAAAAAAAAAAGAATAATCATTGGCAATGCTTCAGTTAATAAAAATGAAAAGATATTTTTTGCATCGATCCGATCGATCCCATTACACTTTTTGATGAAATTCATAAAAACCAGAGTTATTTCATAAATCCAGTAAAACTGATTCAGTATTTCTCCATGATTAATTTCTGAACTTATTCGTTGGATTTTTAGATAAATATGCAAGAAAGGAAGAAAAATAGATGAAAAATAAAGCAAGCAAAAAAGAAATATTTCAAAGATGGAAAGAAAAAAGTACAAAAAAAGAAAGAAAGAAAGAATTAGCAAAGAAAGACAGAAATAAAAAAGAAATAAGAGGAAAAGAAAGAAAGAAAGAAAGAAAGAAAGAAAGAAAGAAAGAAAGAAAGAAAGAAAGAAAGAAGCAAACAAAATAATTATCAAGGAAGGAAAAAGAACAAAAAGAAAATGGTGGAAACAAAGAAAGAATGAAAGGAGAAATAATTAAAGAAAGAAAGAAAAAGGAGAAAGAAAAAGAAAGAAAGAAGGTAAGAGATTAATAATGAAAGAAAAAGAATGAAAGAAAGAAAGAATGAACGAAAGAAAGAAGGAATAAAAGAAGGAATGAAAGAAAGAGTAAAGAAAGAATCAAAGAAAAAAAGAAAGAAAGAAAGAATCAAAGAAAGAAAGAAAAAGGAGAAAGAAAGAAATAAAGAAAGAAGGTAAGAGATTAATAATGAAAGAAAAAAAGGATGAAAGAAAGAAAGAAAGAAAGAAAGAAAGAAAGAAACTTTCTTTTGTTCCAATTGTCCTCCAGACAAAGAAGTTTATATAAATAAATAAAAAGTTAAGCATAGCAACTTTGAATATCTTTTCAGGGGAAATGAACAAAAACGCTGGGTAAAGTGCTTCGCGCCAATTTCCTGCTTCGGGTCGTTCGTTCTTCAATAAGACCAAGCGCCATTTTTAGTCTCCAATGAAAAACTAACTGCGTGATACACGATAATTTCCCATGTCGCTATTTTCTTAGGTTTCCTTTCGGTTATCGGTAGACAGGGACAACCTGAATAACATTTTACAGACTTGAATCAGCCGACAACAAAGCAAAAGGCGAGAAGGGTTTTTAAATATAAAAATATAAAATGTTTTTATTTTCGTGTTTTTAGAACTTAATTTTTCTCAGCGTGTACGAGTGTTAAAGTTCTTGTGTTAAAGTTTGTTAAGATGAAAACAAATGTGATTTCTTGCATGTATGAGGGAGAAAAGAGAGTCAAGTGAGTAAAGTGTAAGAGTCATGTTGTGTTAGGATCCACCTAATTTGCATAGTGGAGTACCGACCATATAAATATGGTTGGTACCGGGAAGAAAGGGGAGGAATCAAGAGATTCAATCCAGAGACTCTGCCCGACTGCGACTAAGTCAACACATTCTCCAGGAACGGTCTTCCCAAGAATATACAAAAGACTATATGTAAATATTGTCCACACTTTCTTGTTTCAATACATTTTGTTCTAAGTACATTTTGTGTTGTATTATTATTCCATGCATTAATCAAGTTTCAACAAGTCACTTAGCTCGGTGAGGAAAAGTGTAAGAGTCACGTAGCTTGGTGAAGAATACGGGTGAATGAATAAGGAAATCTCTTTGAAACCGCCGTCGTGAACTGGCTGGTTTTGTCCGTTTAGCGACTTTACTTAAATACTCTTCAAAGGGATCATAAAGATATGCAAATGACACAGTGTTGATAGGGGACACGGAAAAAGAAAGTTAGAAGAATCCCTACAGAAAAGTATAGAGGAGAGCAAGAAGAAAGGATTAAACATCAATTGCAAGAAGGCATTATGGATGGTTGTTAGCAAAAGGAAACAACCCGGCATGTAAATTACGAATTGAATATAGCGAAATCAAACAAATCTAAATGCAACGTCTCTCACCATCTTCTATCTTCTTGAACCCCGTTCAGCTTTTATCCTTTTCCCGGTCACCCCTATACCTAGTTTTTTTCTCTCACCTTAACTCTCTGTAAGCTTCTGCTTGCCACTGGCATTCCCGCCTTGATTGGGGTGAAATGATTAAAAAAAGGACGGAAAGTGTGGCACGGAAATCCGAAGGCGATTGATATAGCGAAAGATGCCTTCCAAAAGCCAAGAAAAGTATTAAGAAACAGAAAAATATCATTAGAAATAAAGAAAAGCGCATTGAAATGTTATGTAATATCCGTCTTCCTGTTTGGTTGCGAATGCTGGACAATCCCCTCACAGATAAAGAGACCTGAAGTAACAGAAATGTCGTGCTACAGAAGGATGCTGAGAATAATATGAATCGAACATGTGAGCGACGAAGAAGTTTTAAGAGAAAATGGAAACAAAAAGGACATACTTAACATCAGGGAGAGACAGTTGAAATTTCTAG